GGTGCTAGTAGGAAAACAATAACGGATTTGCTGGTTGGTTTGAAAGGGAAAGAGCAAAGGATATATATTGTACATGCTAGTCCTGATTCGGGCCTCAAGATCTTCTCAACTGCAAAATATCTCAAAATGATGAAATCGGGTTATGTGTGGATAGCCACTGATTGGCTATGTACATCTCTAGATTCATCCGGGCTATCCAATTCCTACAGTCTAAGCCCTATACAAGGGGTCATTGGGCTTTGTCAACATACGCCAGAATCAGAAAAGAAGAAGTCTTTTGTTTCAAGGTGGAGTAACTTCCTTAATTCTGGTAGAGCTTCTACAAGGTTGAATGCTTATGGACTCTTTGCATATGATACTGTATGGATGGTTGCTCATGCTTTAAATGAGTTTTTTAATGGAGGGGAGAATATTTCTTTCTCTGATATTCATATTAGGGACATTCGAGAGAGCAAGCTGCACCTTGCTTCACTAAAAAGATTTGATGGGGGGCATTCTTTGCTTAAAAAACTGTTACAAATGAACTTTACTGGTCTAGCTGGCCAAATTTGGTTTTCTACTGATAAAAATCTCGTTTTACCTGCATATGATATTATTAATGTGGGTGAGAGGACTGTCAGGAGGATTGGTTATTGGTCTAATAGTTCTGGCCTTTCAGAAACTCCATATGAGAAACCGAGAGAAACAGTGTTTGGAAAACCTAAACTGGGAAGTGTTATTTGGCCTGGTAATACAACCCAAAAGCCACGAGGTTGGGTTTTTCCAGAAAATGGAGAGCGTTTGAGGATCGTGGTTCCATGGAGAACAAGTTACACCGAATTTGTGAGAAAAGTGGATGGTACTGGTAAAATCGAAGGGTATTGTATTGATGTGTTTACTGCTGCTCTGAAATTGATACCCTATGCTGTTCCACATATGTTTGTAGCTTATGGAAATGGACAAGCTAATCCTAACTATGATGACCTTGTGAAGTTGGTCTCTGAAAAGGTGTTTACCGACTATGACCCTTATTCCAGTTTTTTCTTTTTATTCTATTTTGTACAAATTTTGAAACCAAAATATTTTTAGGAGCTGCACGGAAATTTGTTTTATTATTTTCATCTTTAATGGGATCTTGAAGCTTTATTTTACTTTTTATGGATGGGTCTCTAGAAATATGACGCAGCTGTTGGGGACATTGCCATTGTTACAAACCGGACGACGATTGTGGATTTTACTCAGCCCTATGCTGCTTCTGGTCTTGTCATAGTGGTCCCAGTCAAGAATACAAAATCAAATGCATGGGTCTTTTTGAAACCATTTACTCCCGAGATGTGGTGTGCGACTGGAGCATTCTTTTTATTCATAGGAGCAGTCGTATGGTTCCTTGAGCACAGAACAAACACTGATTTCCGTGGGCCACCAAAGCAGCAACTTGTGACAATGTTCTTGTACGATATTAAACTGGTTCTTACAAGTATTCCAGCATTAATTTTTGCCTTTTGGGGTGAAATTCATCTGTAAATATGTAGTTTAGAATTGGATGCATCATTCTGTTGTTGGAATTTATTGTGCTAATAGTTCTTCCATAATTCTTAGTGTGAAGACCATTATCCAGTGGATTATGATCTGCATTGTGATACATGGTTATTGTGAGGGAGGTAGGACTTAAAGCTATATTTTAAACCTTGGACTCTCTCAGATCTCTCTAGGGTCTGAGCCCAAGTAGGAGGGGTTACTAAGCCGAGTCGTTGTGAGACTCTGCAGAGTCTTAAAACTTTTAGCAGAAAGAACATGTGCAGCTGGTTAAAATCTCTGCCAGTTCCAAGGTTTTTTCGATTGGAACCTGCACCTTGCTGGATCCCAGTGACTAGCCTGCATCTGAGGTGGACTAGGCGAGTTTTAAAACACTGGCTCAGAATTTGTAATGTACCAGACTTACCTATCCTCAAAAAAACAAAAATGTGAAAGAGATACCTTTTTTTTAAGGTTCATGTAGTGACTTCATGTATTCTTGTCAGGATCCAGGGTGGTTCCTCACCTTTTACTGGAAATACATGAAATAATTTGTCATAAAAATTCATAATTTCATAATGAGAAAGAATCTTGTATAAAACACACAAAGAAAACCTCCTGCAGAAAAAATGTCAGGGGAAAATGCCTGAAACTCTACAGGTCCAGCATTTGGCTACTAGATTTTCGATAATACTCGGCATCTATCTTCAATTTTTGTGATTAACAGGAAAGCATCCCCCTTTGGGAAATTTCTTTGTGATTTCTTCTACTTCCTCTTGAAATGTCAGAAGTTCCTAAATTGTTGATTATCTGGTTCACGTTGGTCATTCACATTTTCCTGGACTGTTAAATAACTAAAGATACCTGTGAATTTATGATATTGTTTAGCAAACCTGCCAATTCTATTGTAGCGCTGCTTTAGAATTTCTAAAATGTTACCAGTCTTACACAGCTCTTATGGCATATTGGTTCTGGAATATTCCAGATCACTGTCGCGTGAGTACTTTTGGCTGCCTTAAAAATAAACTCATCTAGACTCATTTCTATTAAAAGAAAAGAAAGATAAGAAATCCATTATATAACACACTATTCATAAGCATGTATTCTCGAAAATAGGAGGCTATTAGAATCAAATGCTGTTCTTTCTTTCTTCTGAGTTGATATAAGTGGTTAAAACATCCATTTTCCATAAATATTGCATCGACTTTTTTCTGTTCTGTTTTAACTTTATTCTTCTATTCCTTTGGAAACTTCTTATTTGGCCTCATTTCTTTTGTCCTGTTTTGCAGGTTTAGCTTTTCAACGTTGTTCAATGCACAAAGTACGTATGTACTGTTGTCTTTTGATTTTATAATATCTACTTGCTCTTGGACCTAGGAATAGCAACATTTTCTGCAGAACATAAATAATATTCCTTGATCTATTTTACCAACTCAACCATTACAAATAGGAAATTCATTCCTGTTTTAGTTGACCTTGTGTTTTTGTTTCATCGTTGAACCATCTTTTACTTTTCCTGGGATTGAAGTGATTATACATCTTGGGATTTTCAGTTAATGTGAATACAAATTATAAATAAAATTGAAACTACACAAATATGTACATTGAAACACATGTATATATAATGCCAAGTTCCTTGCTTTACTTTTGTCAGAAGTACTCTTCTTAAATCAAAATGACCAAGATACCTCATCAACAGGAGCCGAATTGTTAAACTAATAACGACCAAGCCACCATCAGCTCATTTCACTCCTTTTTCTTTGTCTCTTTATTTGATTGGGAAAATCTATTGTAATCCAATGGACTTTGAAAACTCCTTCTTGAGCATCCGATGGAATGATGGAAGGTGATGAAGAGGATTTGAGAACCCATTGAGTTCATGTCTTGTTCTAGTGGGGTCTATCTCTCATCATCACCACGCGCCATTTCATTGGATGGTGATGAAGTCCATGTGCTGTAGTGTCTGTAGACCATTGGACCATAGTATACTTTTCCTTTCTCCAACATGTGTGTTCCTCATTGTTTGCTTTGGTGTTAAATATAGCGGAGAAGACCGGGAGCCCCCTTGCTCGTTTTGTGATGATTGTGTGGCTGTTTCTGGTTTTGGTGATCACTTCTAGCTACACAGCCAGTCTAACTTCGATCCTGACCGTCCAGCAGCTGGCTCCAGCCATCATGGGAATTGAAAGCTTGATTGCAAGCCATGAGCGAATTGCTTATCAAGTTGGGTCTTTTACCAAGAGGTATCTTACTGAAGAGCTTAACATACCATCCTCTAGACTTATATCACTCAAAACGCCTGAAGCTTATGCCCAAGCCCTCCGGCTTGGACCGACAAATGGAGGGGTAGCAGCTATCGTGGATGAGCTCCCTTACGTGGAAATGTTCCTATCAAACAGGAGTGAGTTTGGAATTGTTGGGCAGATGTTTACAAAGAGAGGATGGGGATTTGTAAGTAATCACACCGAGAATAATCATGAACTACACATGAAAAAAAAATAGATGGTGCCTGTACATTGTGTATGTATTGGTAGTAAGGGTAAACTGGTCATTTGTGAAAGCCTTTTGAATTTGTCTTTCAAAAAGAAAAAAGAGTTGTTGGTAATTAGCCTTTCATGCAAAATTGGTGACAGTATGCTGGTTGAAATTTTTCATATGTATTTTTCAAAAAAAGAAAAACGAAATAGTTGGTAATTTGTTTTGTCATGCAAACTCAGTAGTTTATGCATTATAGGGTATCGTGGTTGTCATGTCTATGATCAAGGTCATCTTCACCATATTTGGGAAAGCAGGGCTATCTTCATCATTTTACAGTCGTGGGGATGCATAAAATAAACACAGAAATTATCAAGATATCATTGGTGAACTTTTTGGTATAAGGAAAGCATAATGTAATCCTGAAAATTATGAAAAGAACCAGTACAGGGTCATTACCATCCATTGAAATAATGGAAGTTAATTGAGAGAGATTGGGGCCCACCAACACAACATTTGGGTCATGTGATGTTTTGGGGGGTCCCACTCTGCTGTCACTGTTCATTATTTCAACCAATGGGGATTATCTTTATGATTATAGTTGCTTCAATTGGAATCTTCTGTGAGGTTACGTTCAAAGCCTCATACAAATGAAGTTTCTTCTTTATTTATAATTGGCCAGTGTATTTTTGTTATTCATGGAGAATGTGCACCATATTTGTGACAATTTTCATTTAATGATCATTATAATGGTAACGAGCATTAGCTGCTCCAGCAAATATCTCCAAATAACTGGTGGTATTTAAAAATAAGCCACTATGCCCATTACAGTGGTCTTTGGCGATTATGACATTGATTTTTGCTATCTAAATATAATTATTGTTATTAGCTTTTATCTTGACTGAGGACCTTCGTTTTGTATGAGTATAAACTTTAAAGTTCGAACTGTTGACCTTCGTCATAAACTGGGTGACAAACCATCTCAACTAAAAGGTCCCAAGACTAAAATTTTACTTTAAAATTTCACAAATGTTTCATAGATTTAAATGCATATATCTGACATCCTCAAATATTCATGGATATTTTGGCTTGTATAATTTGAAGAGTCAGAGTGTGATCAATTACCTCATTCATCAAAACATTCTCAAATTTCCTTGCACACCAAATATTAGTGTCCAGTTGTGCTTGCATAATTTATTTGTTGTTTTTCCATAATTTTGGTTTATTAAAATCTTCCTCATTCATCATGTTTTTTTCTCCCAGGCATTCCCAAGAGATTCTGTTTTAGCTGTGGACATGTCCACTGCGATCCTGGGACTATCAGAAAATGGGGAACTCCAAAGAATCCATGAGAATTGGTTTTGTAAAAATAAGGCAGGTTGCAGAGAGTCGAACAGCCAGCCTCAAGCTGACCAGCTTCATATGCGCAGCTTTTGGGGCCTCTTCTTGCTTTGTGGGTTCGCTTCATTGGTTGCACTATTCATATTCCTGTTGCAAACAGTGAGACAATATCGTCGTTATGGGCATCAGGTGGATTCGTCCTCCGAATCAGAGCCCTCGAGTGTGAGTTGCAATCAAAGTGTTCACAATTTCCTCTCATTTGTTGATCTGAAAGAAGAGGAGGTCAAAAGCAAGCTCAAACGACAGTCTGGGACTTTGCCATCTCAGGTCAAATCTGAGGCTTCGCCATCTCAGGTCAAATCTGAGGCTTCGCCATCTCAGGCCAAATCTGAGGCTTTGCCATCTCAGGTCAAATCTGAGGCTTCGCCATCTCAGGTCAAATCTGAGGCTTCGCCATCTCAGGTCAAATCTGATTCTTTACCATCTCGTGAGAACTGATATTGTTTAACAGTTCATACCCCAATTATGTATATATG